TCCCACCCCCACCTCCCGCAGTCGTCGCAGAAGGATACCATGGTCGATGGGATCGAAAACCGCCGAGAGGGCAAGGCGCACCAGGATGGAGGCGTGGCCTCCATCCCTGGCTCTCCAGAGATCATCTTTATAGTGATTCTTCCCCTACTTTATCACAGTTTGGGTAACTAGAACAAATATGATGGAATGATAAAACATACACCAGGTTTAACATGCTGATTCTGCAGTGGTGTCTACAGTAACAGTCACTGATGTGGAAATGGCAAGTGTGACTGAGCAACCGAAACATTGCCAATTTTAAGGGTGATACTTGACACACATATTTAAAAAGGAGAGTGTTTCAATTGCCTGGTTGTGCTTCCCATTTTGACATAGTTGACTGTCATTGAAAACCTTCCTACAACTCTGTGATAGCAAGATGAGCAACAAACTGATTTGAAACACTGAGCATTTTTCCTCAATGGATGACAGTAAGCTTCTACCTATTCAAAACGGAAGGATTCAAAAACTGTTCACAATTGCCATGCATGATTACTAAATACTTTCAGCAAAATGTTATTCATATTATCAATCCTTCCAATCAGGTGACACAAAGAAGATTAGGATGAAGTTTTGTTGTAGCCAGACAAATGGTATGGAATAACTTTGTCCCATCTCTTTATCCTTCATAATGCATGTTTCATTAGTTGAAATAGATCTCCAGCTGATATTTAATAGAGGTTGAAGCTGCCCAAAAGTATTTATTACCACCATTAGAGACTAGTGTAAAATCTAACCTACGCTGATTTGGATGCATCTCAAGACTTCCAGCAACTGCCCTCCATTAATACAGTTTTTCATAAGTCTAGAACATTAGTTCTCAATCTTTTCTTTACCATGGACCTCCTTTAAATACCTTTTGTGACCAAAGACCATAGCCACAGACCACCAAGATTTAAGTCAAGATTTAAAACATAAGATTTCTTCAAGCCTTCACGGATTCCTTGTGATGATGCTGTGCCCCCCCCCCCCCCAGTGGTCTGTGGACCACCGGCTAAGAATCACTGCTCTAGACAACTACGGTGAGGATCTGGATAGGCATAGTTGCTTGTTGTAATCACTTTCCAGTCTGGGTAGGAGAAGTTGCTTAGTTGCAAACATTTTCCAGTCTATTTTCTGATTTCTGAGTGTGGCCTGAATTGTAATAAGATTTACAGGAGGGACAAATCCCAAAGAAATACATGGAAAGTATTCATCTATAATGGATGGTTAGATTATATTACATAACTGGATTATAATAAAGGGTTCACTACTAGCGGGAGGCTTAATGCCATTGTTAGACTAAACTTTAGATTTTACATCTTGTATAAATGATTTGTAGGTTTGAATGTGAATTGTCTTACTGCTAAGTAAATAAAAAGTTTTCAGAAATGCCCCATATCTTCCATATCAAAGAAAAGGGAAAACAATTAAACTTACTGTTCTTGTTCATATCCCAAAAAACACAAGTGGTATTAGGAGCCTTCTAAAAATTAAAACAAAAACAAAAATACAAATTTGTGTCTCTATAGGCACATGAATAAAAAGTAACGTCTTCAAAAATGTTATTAATTAAGCAAGGAAGCTAATTTTCCATCTACATTTATTCTCATTTATTGTTCTAAACTTGTAAACACATAAAGAACTAAAGAACAAATTAAAGACAATCTTAAATGGGCATTTTCAATTAAAAATCCAAATGTTTGAACATGCACATTTAATCAGTTGGATAACTATTGGAGAAAATCAATCATTGTGGAATTTAACCCTTCAGTTCTGTAATGCTCTCCTGAAGAAAATTCATTTTTCTGGAGTTAGTGTTTGCTTAGCGAGGATTACAACTGCAGGATTAGAAATTATTAAACTCTTAGTCCTCTAACTAAGAGCTAATGTGAATGAAAAAATAGAAAGTGCTTGCAGGAGTTAATTGGTGATTGTGGATTAAGGAATGGTATCCTCTCTAGTAAAAGTTTATTGTTCTTGTATCTCAGATCACTTTTGCCCCACATGCCCCACACTTAATTGACATGATAGCATCAGCACTGGTATTATTGTTTTGCTTTGTATATTCACAGCAAGGGAAAGCAGTGAAAGCTTTGTCACCGAGCTCTTCTCTTTCTCTAGTTTCTCCCATTAACAGTTGTGAAAAAGTATAGACATAATGGGTCATGGATTCCTCTCCATATGACTGGAACCCACACGCAATCTCTCTCATTGGTGTAGAAAAAGGAATGCTAACACATTTCTTTAAGGATATACTTGCTGTTTACATGTTTTCTTCAACAAGTAGCCATCATAAACAATATAATTTTTTGTGGGATGGGGTATATGGAAAAGCAAAGTTTCTGATGTATGTTTAACTCACTCTGAGAGTTATCCTATAACTTTAATGTATACCATTTTAAATTCAAAGGACAAGAAATTTTACCTTCAGTTTTTATTCTCCAGCTTCCTGATTGCAGGGTTGATTTTGGAGAAAAAACCAGCTCCGGGGCAACAGAAAATAATTCAGAGGTTGCCAATACATGTGTATTATGTAGAGGTATTTCTGTTTCTAAAACCATTTTGTTTTGCCCTCCTGCTCAGTACAGACAAATGAATATTTTGTTGCTCTAACTTAATCAATTATATTTTAAACAAAAGCTGAAAAACTCTTACCTGGATGTTGTCATGTTTGAATGCATGCTTGATTGTAATTTTCACAGCCTCCTTGAGATCACGGATAGTAGTGTTCCCCACACTGCAAGCTACCACGTAACTGGTTAAATTGGAAGGAGTTTCTGCATCCTTTAGGATATTAATTTAAAGATTTATAGGAAAATGTGATTTTGTAAACCCCCATTTAATAAACAATTCATAAATTTATTTCTCCACATTGCCAGTATAAATATTGCCAGTACATACAATACAATAGCAGAGTTGGAAGGGACGTTGGATGTCTTCTAGTCCAACCCCCTGCCTAGGAAGGAAACCCTACACTGTTCCAGACAAATGGCTATCCAACATCTTCTTAAAAACTTCCAGTGTTGNTGTGATGACGTCAAAGGCGCGATTTTGTCGATCGCGCTTTTGTCGTCCGCGCTTTTGACGGGTCACGGGGGTGGGTTGCAACGGGTTTGCCCGGATTCGGGAGAACCTGTAATGTTATGGCCAGTTCGGCGAACCTCTAAATCCCACCCCTGGTTGGCCCTGTCCCTCCCACCCACCCCGCCCTTCCCAGGAGTCTCCATGTGGCCTGTTTTGGATGGTAGGTAAGTACAGGGCCTGCACAGAAGCTCGGGAGGGGAAAAAACGGATCTCCCGGAAGTTCCAGAAGGCCAGAAATAGGTCTGTTTCTGGCCTCCGGAGAGCTTCCAGAGCCTGATGGAGGCAATTTTCACCCTCCCAGAGGCTTGAGAACAGCATCCGGAGCCTGGGGAAGGCGAAAATGCCCCCCGCCCCTCGCTGTGGTGCAGGAGGCCAACTAGGCCATGTCCCCCAGGGCCACGCCCACCCAGAAACCAGGCAGATTGTGGTCGTAAGTCAAGGTCAACCTGTATAGGCAATTGCCTTACCTAGAGCCCTATGGCTGTCTGATCAGAGACATAAGTGTAGTAAACATGATAGTCTCCCAATGTTTGGGACACTGCTTTGCTATTCGCTGTTGGGAGATAAATGCTGAGAGGCAACAGATTGCAGACATTTCTACTGTGATTGGCAGTGGATTTCCAGGCTGTCAGATAGAGTTTATTCACCTATTCTGGCCGAACCAATAGTGTTCTGCCTGCAAAGCACGGGATCATTTTCAGAACAGTAGTTAACATGGCAATGGGATGAACCAGATTTAATTGTTCTCCTTGCAGGTCTCATGAAACTGGAGCCCACATATATAGGGTAATAATCTAAGCCTGGCAATATCCATGTGTGAAAATCTATGTTTGCCTGGGCCATCGCTGACTGACATTTCAGGAATAATGCTTTTTAGGGTATATGCAGAAGATGTTCGCCTCCTTTGTTCTTTACATCTGAAGCAGTGGTGGGATTCAGCCAGTTCGCATCTATTCGGGAGAACCGGTTGGTAACTTTCTAAGCAGTTCGGAAAACCGGTTGTTGGAAGAAATCTTTTTTTTCCCCCCACTTTCAATAGCAGTAGGCTTATATACCGCTTCATAGGCCTTTCAGGCCTCTCTAAGCGGTGTACAGAGAGTCAGCATATTGCCCCCAACAATCTGGGTCCTCATTTTACCCACCTTGGAAGGATGGAAGGCTGAGTCAACCCTGAGCCG